TGTGCTCCACCTAAAATCATAAAATTATGTTTTTGAAATAGATTTATATTTTCGGCAATGAAGATCATAATTTATTCAGATTAATTATTGCTATTGCTTTTCGGCAATGAAGATAACAACAATTTTAAGTTAAAACAATATCGATATTTCAATACATCCAATAAAATCGAGCGGTTTTGTACCCAGTAACAATGAATTAAATCTAAAGTCCATCGGAGATCTAAATAGGGTCTATCGAAGATCTAAGATTTTCTTATCTCGGTTCCACAATCGCTTTATTAGACAGAGTATGTAAACCGATGAGCTATAAAATTGTACTAGTTTATCATCAATTTTGGACCAATAGAGAAGTAATATAAGTCTAAACTCAACTAATACGCTAAACTCCTATTCTTGTACATATTAAAATAAACAAAAAAAATATATATATATATATATAATTGAAATATCATTGAACAATCAAATAGAATAAAAAATAACTTATTAAGAAACCACTCAACTGTTACTATTCATAGATAACATAATACAGTAAAATTACACTAAGCTCAAATGAATATCATTGTAAGCATTTATCTTCAAAACATACACGACCAAACAGATACAGCCAAGAACCCGAAGACTTCTATCGCTGATGATCCCAATACATCCTCTAAAATCCAAGACCATCACTGGACAAATCATCAAGTATACCACCGCAAGAGCCCTATCACACATTAAACATAATACATCTGTACATTCACTATAAACAGAGAACATACCGTTTATTTATCACCAGATATCTGAGAACCGTCTATGTAATACATAAAAATTGATTTATTTTTAGATAAACATAGACAAAGAAATAATTCAAATAAATATTATACAAGAGAATATTAGTCAAATATACATAAGAAAATATCAATCATATATAAAATTTCAAACATGATCATCTGCATAACTACAAAGAATGAAACAACACCTCGATGACTCAATATGATTGGTCCACATCATCGTCTTTCATTAAACATAAAAATGTTAAATTGATTAAAACATTAAAAAATTAATTTCTATTTTTTTAAATATTAATTTTGTTTTTTTTAAACTTGATCTGGTAGGTCCACATCAACATATTCATTAAATAAAAAGATGTTAAGTATGATTAGAACGAAAAAACTTGATTTAATTGGTCCACATCAGTTTTGTAATCAAACTAAAAATTATTAAGTATAATTAAAACATCAAAAGTTAATTTAACAAATTATGTCCAGCAAAAAAAAAGTAAATTCAATCTGATTGGTCCAAATCAACATATTCATTAAATCAAATAAATTTTTTTAACAATTAACAATATATGTATTAAAAAAGTAATCATTATCAATTATCAATTTGAAAAAATCTACAACAACTCGATTTAATAATTAAAATAATGAAAGCTGAATAAAAATATGACATAAAACTCTTGGAAGACATGATGGAGAAGGAAAAAAGGGTTTTGCATGATCATTACAGCTTCCTAACAAAATTAAATATGAATCAACATGAATCATAGATTATATATGCAGTGGTACACAACATCAATAAGATTTTCGATAACAAATTAAATATTTGAACACATAAACCTTCAAGAAAAAAAAACTATTGAAATTCTATGGAAAACAGAAAATAATACCAAAATCTTAGCAAGATTATATTTCTCTAAATCAAATGTATATGTACGTCAAAGTTGGATAATTCGATAGGTGTCATTGTTATTATTTTACTTAATAGTTTTTAAAATTTATAAATAAAAATAGGATAAATTATACATTATATATTAAATTCTCTTATATAAATGAAATTTTTTATAAATATATATAATTTTTAGTAATTTAAAAGATAGTAGCTAAAAAAATTAAACAAAAATATTAATACAGACTCGCGCGTAGCACGAGTTATATACCTAGTCTATTACTAATAAAAGTTGATGCTAAATGCCTCTAAGGGTGTCCACATAGGATTAATAGATTCAATTTTATTGGTACACATCATCATTATTTATAGTTAATTATATTTTGTATATTAAAATTAATTAATTCATTTTTATTGTTATAAAGAAAATTTCTAAATTTTAATTAATTTTTTTTTGTTGTTATTAGGAAAGTTTCCAAATTTTAAGTTAGTTATTAATAAGAAAATGTTTATTAAGTAGATTTTATTTTTCTATTAACAGAAAAAGTAAGTAACATATAAATATCTTTAACAAAAAAAAATTTAACTTATAAAAATATTATTAAAGAAAATCATATATGTTGAACAAAATAATTAAAAACCGTATTTAAGACCATAATTAAATTATTTCAAAATTTTAATCATGACAAACAATTAAAATCTGAATTACTAACCTAAAATATATTAGTTGTGGTCCATGTTGATATCTTATGCCAATGAGAGTGTCCACATATGACGTAAAAACTCAAGTGATTAGTCCACATTAGCATTTTTATTAAACATAAAAATGTTAAATATGATTAATAATTTAAATAAATTAAAATATTCAAAAATATAAAATTATCATAGTGGATAAAAAAATTAAGACTAAAAAGTTTAACTAGCAAAACAGATAAAATAAAATTATGTCAAAAATCCAAATCTATGTTTGTCAAAATAAAATAGAAACTATTGTCACAAAAGCTAAACTAACAAAAACAAATATGTAAATCAATTACAAACAAGTTTAATTAAAATAAAGAAAAAAAACTAACATATATATTTTATATGAGTATTTAACTTAGAAGATAATTGAATATTAATTATTTTATAAAAACATATAAAATTATTATTTAAAACTATCAATACTATCAAAAAAATTATCTAAAACTTGATATTTAGCCTAATTATTAAGAAAATCAACACAAAAATCTGAACAAATCAAAAAAGTTTAACTAACAAAAAACCAAAAGTAAATTAATTTTTGCAACATGTCCATATGATTAAAATAAAATTCATATCGAAATTGTTAAATTAACAAAAAAAGAATATTAACTTGATATCTATGCTATTTTTTATTTAACAAAATCAATATAAACAAATTAAGTAAGATAATAAAAAACCTTAAGTAATAATAAAAAAAAATTTACCAACAAAAATCAATAACAAAAGAGATTGATTAAAATAAAATATAAAATTACCATCGAAAGATATGTAAAATAACAAAAAACAAAATCTATGAAGAAAATTAGTTTGAAATTTAGTTCTAGAAAATTCATGATTTCTAAAATATTGGTATTGACTATGAATAACCATATAAAGTTACAGTAGGTTTTAAAAGTTTTTAAATCAAATATATTATTTAAATTTATAATGACTAATACATTGGCTACGTCTGGTTTAAAAACTAACAAAAAAAAATACTACACAAGTATTTTACATTCGAAATATAACAACTAATTTATACATAATTACTATTTATAACTTAGCCAACATGAACAACACATGAGTAACATCTTCTAAAATTTCCTTTAGATAATAAAGTATGACGGAGTTATGAATCAACTTCAAATTAGAATATATCTAGATAAACAATTCAAATCAAAACATGAATAAACCACACAAAAGATAAAAATAGTAATAATGTGAAAACTCCACACCATCTTATATGTTTTAATACAAAAACAATCAAATAGTTGACTGCAAAAAACATATCTTATAAACTAAATAAATATATAACCTAAAATTCATAGAAGATCTGGTTGAGAAGCAAAAAGCAGCTTTACATGATTATTGTAGCATATTAACAAAATTAAATATGAATCAAAATGAGTCACATATTATATATTCATAGGTACATCACATCAGCGAGACATTAAATCAAAAACTAAATATTTGAACATATACACCTTAAAAAAGAAGAACTATAAAAAATTTAAGGACACAAAACAAAACACCAAAAAAGAAATTATTCTCTAAATCAAACGTATGCATGTCGAAGTTGGATAATTCGTAAGATGTTATTACTATGATTTAACCTAATAAGATTTATATTAAAAAATATTTAAAACTACATATTATGTTTTAATTTTTTATATAAAAAAATTCTATAAATATATTATAGTTTTGATAATTTAAAAAATATTAGCCAAAAAGAATAAAACCAAATTATTAATACAGACTCACGCGTAGCGCGAGTTAAAAGCCTAGTAATACATAAAATTTGATTAGATAAACATAGACAAAAAAACCATTCAAATATACATAAGAAAATATCAATCATATATAAAATCTTAAACATGGTCGGATGCAAAACTACAATAAAACAAACAACAACTCGATGATTCTTCGCATAATCGAAACGCAACCAGCGCCAAAACCCTACCTGTCTACCAAATAAAAAAGATTAAACAAAAATCCAAATCAACAAAATAACGTAATACACCTATATGATATATGTAGAGAACATATCGTATAAACAGAGTAGTAATCCTAGAAGATCAACAAAGCAACTATCTACATGTATATAAAACAATCCATTAGATACGCTTACGAAAAGCTCATCAAAATACAAAATATAAATACAAAATATAATAAACACGAAGAACAAACAAACAAAACGATAATTTTTCCCGATCCTAGAATATTGAATTATATATATAAAAAAGATTAGGGTTACACGACTACCATTCATACATTATGGGCCATGACCAGAATGAAAAAAGTAATATTTAAATTCTAGAAAATATACGAAGCTACCTAATTTGGGATAATAATAACTATATTCACAACTTGATAATCACAAGATTACTAAATTAAATAAACAAATATTCTCTTTTGAATATCTTCTTACTTATTTAGGAATATTTAATAATTAAAAAACGTTGAAGATATTTATAAATTAAATTCGAGATATACACAAACAAACAGCAAAAAATATTCTTGAAAATCTCAGAAAATATTAAATGAATAAAAATATTAGAATAATATAATAGTATAATATAGTAGTATAAGTAAAATTAGAATAATAGAATAAAATTAACTATCTCTTCATTAAAAATACTTAGGTAATATTTAGTGAGATTGAATGAAAAAGCTCCATTCCTCAAAATCACTTTGCAAATAATATCTTAGATTGCCCAGCTATTTAGAAATATATATATACACATGTATAACATAGGGCATACATCGTAATGTGATATGAAACCAATGTGACAAAAAAAAAAACAAAGAACCAACAAAACTAATGGTCCAATAAAGAACAAAAAAAAAAGTCAAGATGGACTTTCATTTCTTTTCTTTTTTTTTTACGGCGGACTTTGGTTAATAATGCCACCATCTATCATCTAATCTGAATTTCTTCAACACAATCACAGTTATCATCATCAAATTCTTCATCATCATCACATAAACGATGGAGGCGGCAATTTCCAGAAATTCCATGTGTTAAAGTCCTCCTGTTTGTAAAAGTTCATCAAAAATCATATTTTGATGAAAAAGCCACATTAAAATCAGAAATATATATATGATGAGATACCCTTTCTGAAGAGGTTGTTGTAGCTGGGAACATTCCATTGACAAGAGCATGAAGATTTGTGTACGATCTTGTATCTACCCTACGATTTACAGCTACTTCCCCCTGCAACTCTCACAAGCAACGTTGCAACTGTTTCAAACGCCAATTTTCACGTTTGCGTTCACATGTGAATTATCTTTTGCATTTTGGAAAAACAAAACAAAACATTTCCAGTGTTTTCCATACACAATATTTTTCCAAAGCCAAAATGAAAACGCCAAAATGAAAAGTTACAGTTGTAGGTTGTATAAAAATACTTGATGGTTTCATTTAGAAAACAAAAACAAACCGCAAACAAACAACTCCACATGATAAAGCTGGGCGGTTGGTTGGGAACTACTGACTGTCCCAAATTGTGTTTTAAATTTGTGTTATAATAGTGTTTTAAACATTTTACCTTTATTAAAGAAAAACTACTGACTGTCCCAAATTGTCGTTTGCGTTTTGGAAAAAAAAAAGGTAAGATGTTTAAAACACTATTATAGAGACCTCGAGACTTAAGGTATAGTTTGTTCCACGAAACATTGTTAATTCATCATTTTTGCTAATCCATTTCAGAGTTTATGAATAAGTACCTTTGGGTTAATAGTGAAGATCTTTCCCCGAGGGATTCCAACTTTAAGGTAGCTTATCTCATCAGTGTCTCTGTTTCCAAAACCAGCATAGAATGGGTTGTGTTCTGGAGGAAACAATGCTCGTATTTCCTGTAAAATTTCGAAAAAACCGAGATCTGTAAACATGTTTTAAGAGGAACATAAGAAGTTCGGCAGATAGAGAAACCGCGTAAAAACTAACCTCCAAGCAAGAAATCTTGAATTCATGAGGTGCTCTTCTAATTACTGAAGAAAAAAAAAAGAGTTTAAAACTAAGACGCTAAGATCAAGGAATCATGAGAAGACACTGTTAGCTATATTGCAAGAGAAAAAAGATTACCTTCTCGAAACAACGAAGGAAAGAGGCCATCGGGAGAGATAACAACAGGACCATCCGGCAATGCTTTCCCATCCTGGTATTTGCTTAGCTAGATTAACATTGAACGCTCGAATTTTCATCTTTGAAAATTTGGAATGCGTTCTGTTTAATTACCTGCTTGAGATTAACTAGAAACTGTCTTGTCACTGAGGCCTGAGAAATCGCGCGTGCACTTAGAAAGATCAACTGATATCCGTTTTCCTGTAGAAATGTTCGGGGGAGAAGAGTGAATCTTTGCTTCCATTTATAAAGATTAAAACCAGCAAAAGCACATACTAACAGACCTTAACAGCTGAAAACAAATGTGTAACACCTGTTTGCGACCAATCTATTCCAACCAAAGGCATGAACTGGCCTAAGACATCCGATCTATGACAAACATAAACAAAAACCGCGTTAAAAAAAAGAAAATCAGAAACTCAGAAACAGAAACAAGTTCTGGATTTGGCTCGCATAGTAGAAAACCAAAGGTGCTTTACCTCGTGATGGTACCATCTACATCTGAAACAACAATGCGAGCATTCCATTTCCACAAGTAAATCCTGGCGTCTACCTGTTTGAAATAATGAGTTTGTGAACACGAAGTAGGAACACTCTGATGGTTATATGACAAGCATGTCGCGGTAAAAAATAAAAATGACCTGTTGTGTACCCACAATATTGGTGGAGAACGTAAAAGTCACTGAATTCATTCCATCTTTCAAATCTAGCGAAGCCAGCTGCTCGGAAGTTGGAGTTAGCGCCCTGACCGTCTTTTTCACCGGTCTTGGCGATGATATTTCTTGTTTCTCCTCAGGTTCAGCAACGTCCTTAGAAGAAGCTTCTCCATCGTTCCTTGATCTTCCGAATGGCCAAAGCTTCCAGCTTCCACCTCCCGGAGCTGATACATCACCAAGTTTCTCATTCCGGTCAACAGCTATCAGGCCCTTGGGCTCGAATACTTGGGTAGACCCAAATGAAACCACTCCTAAGATAATAGGAGCTGCTGCGTCCCATGGAAAATAGCAGCCACCAATCTTCACTATAAGCTTATCATTCTCTAAGACCAATGGGCCCAAAGAAGAAAACTTTTCCATATCCAGTTTTCCAGAATCGAAGGCCTGAGAAGCCGCTTCTGCTCCCATTCCTTCACGTAACAAGTGCTTGCAGAGAGAGAGCTCCACTGAGAATGGAGATAGAAAAGTTAGACTATACGATTATCATAAGTAATAACAACCAAAACAGTTTCACCATGTCGAGAATATAAAGGTAAAGAAGTTATATTTCCTTACCCACTTCAGGATTAGCGATAACATGTTTAAATGCCTTTAAGTTTGGGATACCGTCAGCAACGTTCTCCGTGTCTAAAGCCCTCGAGCTCGACTCATCTTCTCTCAACTCCCATTTGGAAGTATTGGAACATGGGTCGAATGACTGGCTCAAAGGCTGACAAGGAGTGGCACCCAAATCGTCGTCGTTGTGAAGCCGCATAATCGGCAATGATTCAACCAACCGCTCCATCTCTTCTCCGGAGATATCCTTTCTTCTCTCTATATCAATCGGCACTGACAAGCCCTTTGAGTCTTCCACGCCGTTTTCAGCACTAGTTTCATTCTCATCACAAATGTCTTTCCCATCAGCTTTCACTGTATCAGGAAAACTTGACCCTCCTGAACTCCCATCAGGTTTACATTCGCCAAGATCGCTAAAGGAAAACTGTTCCTCTTCCATCTCTTCTTGCGGGGCGCTTGCTCCACTTGTTGACAGAGACATTCCGAATTCTCCTTCCGACAAACGAATATCTTCCATGGTGGTCTTACTTTCATCGTGAACTGGAGAGCTAGTGCTGTTTCCTTCTTGAGAAGTGTCAACGTTCCCCAAATCCGCTTGGTCAGCTAAACCCATTGCCACACTTTCCAAAGATTCAGGAGCACATAACAGTTCTTGCTTAGAATCCAAATCGCATTTAGTAACAGAATCCTAGTGGAGATACAATTTACACAAGACAATAAGTCTCATACATTCGATAAGCTTCTAACACTACTAATCTACCATTGCCTAGAAAATGAGAGAAGATGAATGACTAACCTGTTTCTCGATTCTCGTCTCCACAGTCATAGCTTCGACACAGATGTCTACTTCTCCACTCCCTTCACTAGTAACAGAGAATGCGGCTTCACAAGAACCATTTTCAACAAGAAGTGAATTCTCTTCACAATAATCTTCCACATTGCTGCTTTCACGAAAATCCTGCTCTTTCTTATCAAGAAACTGTAATGTAGGAGACGCAACTAGAGGAGTCTCCAATATCGAATCGCTATCCACAACAGAAGCCTCACTAGCACTAGTCTCACCATCACAAGACTCTGAAGCTTTACCTTTGGTGTTCTTACGCGTATCGATATTAGTAGACCACTTAACATCTAACAGATCAGCAGCGATCTCAGCTCTCTCCATGGAGCTAACTTCATCTGGCTTACTCTCCCTAACCGATCTACCTCCAAACACAAACCCTAGAATCCCAGGCTTACCCACAATCTTCCCATTTCCACTACGAGGACTAGCGGAATCGTAGTTACAGCTCTTGGACTTCAAAGGTATCTTAATTTTATCAACATCATCAACATCACAACTCTTTGCCCTCGTGGTTTCAATTTCATCGCCAGAAGACAAAGTGTAGACTTCACCACTCTCTGATTCTCCAATCACATCTTCGACTTCCCTGAGGAAATAAGCTTGTCCTGTATGAGCCAGATACATATTGAAGCCTGAATCGATGCCATTGACCTCGATCTTGATCAAATTCCTTCTGTTCTTCAAAACCCCTTGGAATTTCCCGAATCGTACATACCAAGGAGACGATTTGAATGTCCCGTCTGGTTGCTCGACGACGATAATGTCGATCGCGCCACCGAATGGGTGAAACGGACCCGAGACCGTTCCTACACCTCGGTAGATGTAGCTCCCGATTCTACCGACGGCGTTCATTTTTATCAAAACTCAGATTCGAAAAAGTCAATCGAGTTTTCAGAAGATCGCAGACGATCTTGGAATTTCGAATTAGGAAAGCTGATTGGATTATATGGATCGATCGATCATCTTGTGGAGAAAACAAACCTGGAAAAACCAGAAACAAATAATCAAATTTGAATGATGAAGAAGAAGAAAAGAAGAAAAGAAGAAGAAGATGGCTAAAGGAAGAGTTTGACGGGGCAAAAGGGCATATTCTGTGAGAATGATCCAAAGTAGACAGAGACCAAATTCTATCATTAAATCTTGCCGCCGGACATTATTTTGCTTAGGTGGGGTTCGTTTAGATCCAGTTTATTGGATTTTCAATTTTGGCCTTCTTATAAGTTTGTCTATTTGATATTTTTAATAAGTAGATGTATATATATCATAAATGTTTCCACCAACTTGAGATTGTAATTGTACATAAATCACTCTTAAGAAATCGGGAATTAGAGATATTTCTTCGTAAAAGCCCCACAAAAATATATTCTACAAGTTATGAGTGAATTGGATGGATATGGAGAGTTTTGGTATCTAAATCTTTTTTTTTCTTTTCAACATTTCATTTCATTGAATTAATCTGTCCGGATACAACTAAAAGAGAAAATTAAGCAGTTTTTATAAACAATACAATAAATCACAAAGACAATAAAACATATACAAAATTTGTATTAAGAAAACATTGGTAGCAGATTTAGGAGGTGTTATTGGTTCTTGTATTTTAATGAATTTGAGAATCCAAACCAAATTCAGTGTTATTGGTTCTTGTATTTTAAAATTTATATTGAAATACAATGTTATTGGTTCTATGATTTTAAAATCCATAATGAAATACAGTGTTATTGGTTCTATCATTTTAGAATCTAAATATTATAAGGATTTGAGTTTTAATTGAATTTGAATGGATTTGGAAGGATTTTTATGACTAAAATACAAAGACCCAAATACAAGGTCTAACCTTGGTATTTGAGTGGATTTGATTTTTTTCCATTTTGCTGATTTTGAAATCAATAAATTTATCAAATCCAAAGAAGATTTATAAATCCACCAAAATACAAGAACCAATAATCCCTACTTAAAACAATGTTCAAATGTATTAACTTTAGTCACATTACAAAGGGATGAATGGTTGAAATACCACTTTTTATGAAAAATAGATCTCAGATGCCATTGTTATAATAATTTTTTTTTTTTTAATTTATGTTTAATTGAAAATGAGATGAAATACAATTCTGATCTTATCAAAATCTAATAATTACGAACTCACCCGCCACCCACCCGCTCACGATTCATCTGATCCCCATCAACACGATTCGAGCCCTAGTAAAAAAATTTACTTCTCATTCGATTCGATCTCCTCCCTCTGTAGAAACTGTCAAAATTTGAAAAAAAAAAAAGAAAAGAAATCGATTGTCTGATTTGAAGCAAATTCGATCTCTTCGTCTATTTTCTAGTTTTCGATTGTCTGATTTTGCAATCGGAGTTGTCACCGTGAATCTCAGAAACCAGAAACCGTGATACTTCTCCGCCTCTCTTCTTTTGCTCCTCTCCGATTAGTCTTCTCCTCCACACGGATCCTCTCCGATTCGTCATCTCCTCTGCATCAATTGTCTGATTCCTCTTCTCCTCTGCATATCTCTTCTCTATCGAGAGTTTGATTTCTAGGTAAGAACTTTGATATCTGCTCCTTCTCGTCCTGTGAACTTTGATATTCTTCTCTTCTCGTTCATTTGGGATTTAATTGTGATGGTTTGATCATTTAATTGTCAGAGATGGTTTGGATGAGAGGCGGTAAATACAGGACAGGAAGAGGAGGAGGTCGGCGAAGAAATAAAATTGAAAACGAAGGAGAAACCTCTTCAAAAGAAGTAGAAACCGCTACTCCTGAAGTGGATGATTCTCCTTCTGAAACCGTCGCAGCAACCACTGCAGCCATCGCAGCAAAAGAAACCGTCGCAGTTCCTCCTCCAAACTCTCCTCCTCCTGAAACCGTCGCAGCAAAAGAAACAAAAGAACCTGCAATAGATGTTCTTCCTCCAAACTCTTCTCCTCCTGAAACCGTCGCAACAACAGAAACAAAAAGAGCTGCACCGGACGATCCTCCTCCGAACTCAGCTGCAGTAGACGTTCCTCCGAACTCTCCTCTTCCTGAAACCGTCGAAGCAACCAAAGAAGGAGAACCAGAAATTGAAAGAGCTACACTGGACGTTCCACCTGAAATCGTCGAAGCAACCGCAGAAGGAGCAACAGAAGGAGTAATCGCAGGGTACGTTCCTCTTCCTAACGACGCAGAAACAGCGGCTTCACCAACCCCAGAAGCACAAAGTCCAGGAGAGATGAACATTGATTTAGCTATGGTATTGTTTGAAGGAGAACCATCAAATTCTGCTTCCCAAGAGCTTGCTGACGAAGAAGTCCAAGAAAAGGAGCTTCCTCTCGAGGAAGAGCAAGAAAAAGATGCTGGTCTTGAGAAAGAGGTATTATTTATAAGTCTTATGCATTTTTACTTACCTTGAAATTGAGATTGATATTGGAGAATGGATGAAAATATGTTAGGATGATTTAGTGATGTGTGGACAATTGGGAGAACTAAGTAGTATATTGGTTCAACTTCCACTCAATAGATTCAACTACGTCTGCGTAGGTTCAACTACGTCTGAATAGGCTCAACTACGTCTCAATAGGTTCGACTACGTCTTAATAAGTTGAACTACGTCTGAATAGGTTCGACTGCGTCTCAATAGGTTCAACTTCGTCTTAATAAGTTCAACTACTTCTCAATAGGTTCGACTACATTTGAATAGGTTCAACTTCGTTTCTAGGTTCAACTGCATTTCCTAGGTTTGACTAAGTTTCTTAGGTTCAACTGCGTTTTCTAGGTTCGACTAAGGATTAAATTGTTCATTAAACCTGTGTTTGAATTCGCAGGATGAAAAGGATGAAACGCCACCATTGCAACCAGAGAAGTTCTACTTCACTCCAGATCAATATACCAAAGTATGTAAGATAGGATCGAGATGTATTATCGTGAAGACAGTGTCTATGATAAAGAAGCTGAAAAATGAATCGACATGGTTCACAAGACATCCTCAATTCAAGCATATTTTTCATATGGAGGAGGAGCCAAACCGAAAGCCTATGGGTTTGTGGATGTTGTTACTTCATCAAGCTCGTACGGATTCAGAGAAGGAGTTCTGGTTTGTGGTTAATGGAGTACCGATCATATATTCCATTAGGGATCATGCTCTGTTAAGTGGGACTGTCACCACTACCCGAGGGTATATGATGACTTGAGGGATAAGAAAAAAGGCGATTTTAAGTTTGTGCAAAGGATTTTTGGAAGGAAGGACAATATAAGAATCAAAGATGTGGAAGAGAAAATGCAGTCATTGACGAGCGGCTTAGATAAAAAGAAGATGATTGTCATGTTTTTCTTATGCACTGTGTTGAAAGCGAAATCTAAGGTGAAAGAGAACATAGAGCCTTTCTTGCTTAAAGTGGTTGATGATTTGACATTGTGCAAGACATTTCCATGGGGGCGTTATACTTTTGATGATTATATTGAGGAGATGAAGAGGGCGATGAAGAAATTCAAGAAAGGCATCGTCAAAGACAAAGAGTCGTTGACATTTTCTGGATTCATTCTTCCTCTAGAGGTAACTATTAGTTTTGATGGTTTTGTAATTGTTTTAAATCGATTTTAATGCAATTGTATGTGTAGATTTTTGCGTTTGAGTGTATTCCTGCGCTTAAACGCACGTTTCGAGTAGAGGTTGCCATAGAGAAGGACTGTCCAAGGATGTGCAAGCACAAGTTCTTGGAGACTTCCATGAAAGGTTATCCATTAGAAGACATAAACGAGGCGATTGGAAATACCAAGGTGAGAGATAATACTTATATATGGTTATTTTTGTCTTTGATATGAGTTTGATTTTTATTGTTATTTTTTGTTGATATTCTTAGGATATCATAAGCATCTTGGAACCTGACTCTGATGAGAAAGCTTTGATGGAGCACATCATAGGCGATGATTGTGATGATGGTATAAGCTTCATTGATCCGATTGTTGAGATGTGGCGAGACCATCTAATCAGAAAAAGGGAGGAAGATATGGTGGAAAGATCTCTATGATATCGACTTGGCAGCTTGAGTTGTAGATGAAGATGCAAAAAAGGCACTTAAAGATGAAAGTAATGATGAATCTAAAGATGAAAGTAAAGATGAAAGTGTTGCATCTTTGTTGGGGCTGAAGGAAGCGTTGGAGAGAATGGAGAAAGTGATACAAGAAGTAAAGGATAAGGTGGATGGTTTTGATGACCGACTGAAAAGTGTAGAAAGTTTTGTAAATGAGCACCGAATCAAAGGTCCTGACAGTGTTCGAAGCCCTCCTGGAAGCCCTGCTCCAAGCCCTGCTCTAAGCCATAGTGATGACAAAGAAGGTAAAAAATTACGTTTTAACTCTAATGGATTTATTGTCATTTTTCTGTTGTTACTTTGTTGTTCATAAAAAAGATACACTTTCAGGAGAGAAGATGCAGATGAGAAGGAGGAAGATGCAGAGGAGGTAGTCGAACCTCTGAAGAAGAGAACAAAGAAGTCACCTTCTTGTTACACTCCAAGTGAGCATGGGCAAAAATGTAAAAGAGAGAGCAAGGGACAGAAAAAGGATAAGGGCGACGGACAGAAGAAGGGGAAGGGTGACGGTCAGAAGAAGGGAAAAGGCGTGGGGAAGAAGAACAGAAAGGGCGTGGGGAAGAAAAACAAATGATATGGCTGGTTTGTATACTTGTTTTTGGTACTTAGATGATTGCAATTGGCATTTGGTACTTTACGGTGTTTGTTTAGTAGTTTTTAGTACTGTATGATGACAATTGGCTTTTGGTACTTGATGGTTTTTGCTTGTAGCTGCGGATTGGCTTAGTGTTTAAGGACATGTTTTAAACTTAATGCAATATATTGGTATAACTGTGTTCTATTAGGTTCAACTGCGTGACTTTTTGGTTTGACTGAGAAATTTCAAGGTTCAACTGAGTTTTAATAGGTTTAACAATGGACATAAATAACTAGGTACAACTGAATTACAAGGTTCGACTGAAGAGGCAACATGATTAATAATTGACATAACTAACGAAGTACAACTGAAATACATAGTTCGACTGAGTTAAAACTTGAAGACCTCTTCCAAAGTTTGAAAATTAGAAGATCTTCATCCGAAAGCAAATAACATCATCAAAGTCTTAAAATAAGAAGAACAATCCACTTACTTAAAAAAGATTATAATCAAACTAAGTAGAAGCACAAGTACTGCTACCCCAAATGTCATCTCCACACTGATTTTCTTCT